CTATTACCGAATTTAGGAAATCAATCTGTTAAAAAAAAAAAAAAGAAGAAAGAAAGTGAGATGTGTAAAATGACAAGAATATATATATATAAGCTGGAGCATCAACAAGTCATGAAGTATATGCCTTTAAGCTATGGCAGCAAAGTGTGCTGAAGAGGCCAACAGTGGCTATTGGGCACCCATGCTTCTCACTCTCCCTGAGGACAGGAATGCTGAGATTATGTGAGTAAAGAGCTGAACTTAAATGAGGTCATGTCTAGGTGGTGAGGTTATGGCAGTTTCTTTTAACCCCTCACATCTTTCAGGATTCTTCGAATGTTCCTTACTGAGTAGATGCTATTTTATCTCTAAAAAAACATTTAAAGTACACTTCATTGAATATTTCTAGGTATAAATAGATTTCATTTGTTTTTGGGGCAAATGAAATTACTCTTTTTTTTTCTTCTCACTGTGTTGCCCAGGCTGGAATGCAGTGGCAGGATCTTGGCTTACTGCAACCTCTGTCTCCTGGGTTCAAGTGATTCTCTTGCCTCAGCTTCCTTAGTAGCTGGGACTACAGGTGCATGCCACCATGCCCAGCTAATTTTTGTATTTTTAGTAGAGACAGGGTTTCGCCATATTGGCCAGGCCTGTCTCGAACTCCTGACCTCATGATCTGCCCACCTCCCAAAGTATTGGGATTACAGGCATGAGGCCACCACACCCCACTGAAATTATTCTTAAACATATATATCTGTGGGTTAGTGGAGTGCTATTGATTCTTTAAAAAATATAAGAAAAAAACATTTTTTTTTTTTTGAGACGGAGTTTCGCTCTTGTGGCCCAGGCTGGAGTGCAATGGCGCAATCTCGGCTCACCACAACCTCCGCCTCCTGGGTTCAGGCAATTCTCCTGCCTCAGCCTCCTGAGTAGCTGGGATTACAGGCACGTGCCACCATGCCCAGCTAATTTTTTTTTTTGTATTTTTAGTAGAGACGGGGTTTCACCATGTTGACCAGGATGGTCTTGATCTCTTGACCTCGTGATCCACCCGCCTCGGCCAAGAAAATTTTTTTATTGGAAAAAAAATCTTGCATTCTCCAAAAGTCATAATCTTACATTTCTGAATATATGGGCACAAGTTTGTTTTCATTCTACCACATAAAAAATATTGGCTGGGCACAGTAGCTCACACCTGTAATCCCAGCACTTTAGGAGGCGGAGGTGTGCAGATCACCTGAGGTCAGGAGTTCGAGACCAACCTGGCCAATATAGTGACATGCTGTCTCTAGTAAAAAGACAAAAAATACAAAAATACAAAAATTAGCTGGGTGTAGTGATGTATGCCTGTAGTCCCAGCTACTAAGGAGGCTGAGGCTGGAGAATTGCTTGAACCCAGAAGGCAGAGGTTGCAGTGAGCCAAGATCAGGCCATTGCGCTCCAGCCTGAGCAACAGAGCAAGACTCCATCTAAAAAAAGTAAAAATATGTATAGATGTGTGTGTGTGTGTGTCTATGTGTGTGTGTATATGTGTATGCATATATATATATATGTATATATATATATACACAAATAAAATCTTGCATTCTACAAAAGTCACACACACACACACAACACTTTACAATCTAGGACTTTTCTGTTCTGTAGATTTGAAAAAGTCATATGGAAATTTCCTTCAGACTGTCCTTTATCAGCTGACTGGTAATGGTGGAGCGATAAATTAACATGTTCTCAGGGAAAATGGAGAAGGCTAAAGATCTTTCCAAACAGAGGACAAACAGCCTGGCACACAACAGGGCAGCCTTCAGGTACCACCCAGAGGAAGAGCACCTGTGCCAAGCCCTGGGGCAGAGGGGACAAGATGGCCAACACAAGGGACATTTCCTTTCAACCTAAGGGCACTTTAACTTAAAAACAAAAAATTTCTTTCTTCTTCTACAAATAATAAAAAGGTCTCATTTCTCTAAATTGAAAAATCCCACTTTATAATATTTAAAATACATATACATATATACACACACACACACATATACATACATATTTTACTTCTTAAAGAAATGTTTTTTTTTTTTCTCCTGCTGGGGCAAGTTATGAAGCAAAGTTAGCAATCACTGCAGTCTTTGTCCGCAGAATATCCCCAGCATCATGGAGGCCACCTCTAAAGGCAGACGTACTGAGTCTATCCTCACTTCCCAAAGTGCATTTTCTAAGTCATTCTTGTGTTAAGAGCTCCATTGCAGGAGGAAGAAAAAGCCACACAATGGACATTAGTGGGAAACCATACACACAAACACACACACGCATGTACAAAAATTAGGAAACATGAAACGAACCATTTGCTGATTGGAAGAAAAGTGTTGTCAGCAGCAGATGAAACAAACCGAAGCAGAAGGAAAGGGGAGAGAAGATACTGTTAGTTATTAAGCCCAGGAGACGTAACAGAGGACAATGCTACTCCATGGTAAGTTTGTACAACATTGAATCATTGCATGCCCCTCAAAGGAGATGTCTGGCAACTAAGACAAATCTCAAGGTGAGTTTTCCTTTTATTTAAAAATAATAAGTGGCTTTTGTATTTTTGAATTTTGAACATAGTACATCCAAAATATATCAAAATTAAAAGATGGATGTTTGTTGCCATATACAATTATATTTACAAATACAGAATACTTTGCCTTTATATAATCCCTTTTTACAAATTTTTGTTTGTTTTGAGACAGGGTCTTGCTCTGTCACCGGGGCTGGAGCACCAATGTTGCCCAGGCTGGTCTTGAACTCCTGGGCTCAAGCAATCTGCCTACCTTGGCCTACCAAAGTGCTGGGATTTCAAGTGTGAGCTACTGTGCCCAGTCCCCCCACCCTACTTTTTTTTTTTCCTGAGACAGTTTTCGCTTTGTCACTCAGGCTGAAGTACAGTAGCATGATCATGACTCACTGCAGCCTCAACCTTCTGGACTCAAGCAATCCTCCTGCCTCAGCTTCTGGGGTAACTGGGACTGACTAATTTTATTTTTTGTAGACACAGGGTCTTGCTATTTATTGTTGCTCTGGCTGGTCTCAATCTCCTGGCCTCAGACAGTCCTCTTACCTCAGCCTCCCAAAGTGCTGGGCGCTGGGAATACAGGTATGAGCCACTACACCTGGCCCAGGACCTTAAAAAAATGCTCTGTCACCCAGCCCGCAGGCTACTTTTGTTTTTGTTTTTTGAGAGATGAGGTCTTACTATGTCCAGGTTGGTCTCAAACTCCTGGGCTCAAGCAATCACCCCACTCTGGCAACCCAAAGTGCTGGAATTACAGGTGTGAGCCACCGTTCCTGGCCTAATCCCATTTTTAGTTTAAAACTAAAGTTGTTTTGTTAATGTTTGCTCTAAGAGACTGAGTTTTCAAGAAACCAGTCTTTTAAAGATTAAGATAAATAACAAACCCTTTGACAGAGCAATTCTACTTCTAGGACTTCATCTTGCAGAAATGCTAATATGGAAATGATAGCTGTCCAAGATAATTACTTACAGCATTGTTTATAAAACACCCAAAGGACCAGAAACGTCCCAAGGGTCACTGTCAACCAACAGCGAACTGACTAAATTATGGTAAATCCACATAATAGAACATTACATAGCTATAGAAAAGGTTAGGTGCAGAACTATTTATGTAGTATGCCATCATTTATGTAAAAAAAAAAAAAAAAGAGGGAAGACTGTATTAGTGCTGGCTTATATATACATTTTTTAAAATCTGAAAAGGAAAGACAATAACAGTAATTTTTTGTTTGGGGAGTTGGGAACTGAGCAGAAGAGATAGAATGTTTGGAGGAGAACATTTAATGTATATAATTTTTAATTTTGTTTAATGTTTGGACCAGAGGAATGTATTATCCATTCAAATGACTAACTGATACCAAAGGCATCAAATGAGAAGGAAAATAAACCAAAAGATTACATGCTTTTGAAAAACAGCAACCAAGCAAAGCAATAAGGCAGGAACATTACCTGACTCTCCTGGGCTCTTTCATCCTCATCTGCCTGAGTATCGGTATTACCTTATATTTGAGGAGGAAAAAAAAAAAAAAAAAACAAGTGGAGGGAAGGTATATATATATTTTTAATCACAATCTAAACTGCAGTGAAAGGGCCAGTGTTAAAAACTCATTTTCCTGTGGACTTCCCAATATACCACTTTGAGCACACATGGATGAGGTCCTGTCCTCGTGTGGGACCCTGTGGGTTCGCACAGACACCAGCCCTGCCCTTCACATGCTCTTGCTCAGGCCGGCCGACTCCCGAGTAAGAATGCCGGTCACATCCATCTAAATGTACAGTGGCAATCCACCCTTCTTCACCACAGGAAACACCTCCTCCTGGGTACTTTAATACCCCCCAGTCTGGATAGCAGCAGGCAGCCACCATCGTAGGTTGGTGACAACATTCACAGACCACAAGAAAGCCCATTAAGTGGTGGAAAAGCTAAGGAGAGTGGGAGTCAAGGCAGCATAAAAGCTGTCTTCGAAAAGCATCTGTACTAGAAAGGGCTCCTTGGGAGGAAGCGCGGCTTATGGAGAAGCCCTGGGCAGGCGTCCTTTACCTGAGGAGCTGCTGAGCTGCCTCTTGTTTTCTTTGAGTTGAAGCTCCAAGTTCTTTACTTTGAGCTCAAGCTTCACCTTATCAGACTCTAGAGTCTGAACGACTGAATGCAAGGACTTGGCAGAGGCATTTTCTCCCCTGAGCACTGTGACCTGAAACACAGTTGTTTGGCTTAGGCTCGGACTTTGAACAAAAGGAGGCAGAGTGAAAGTTCTTGAGCCCTGGGTCGTACTCTACCTCATTTCTCAGTTTCTCCAGCTCGGCATCCTTTTCTGTGAGTAAGGCACTAGTTATACTGATGGATTTCTGCAAGGAAGCTTTTTCTTCATCTGCGTCTTTTATGAACTTGGATTCTCTAAAAGATCAAAGAGTTAAAAGTTCCACAAATCAACCGAAAGAGCGGTTGATGTACAACTGTTCTAGAACAAACACATAATTAACGTTAGTTAATGTAAAAAAAAAAGTGTAACAGGGAAGTTTTATAGGGAGTTAAGGCCATTATGCTCACAAAATTTTACTTACTGTGAGGGGAGAAAAAGTGTACCTATGCATAGACATGCCAGAATCTGCATATGATTATATCCATTTGAACTTAAAGAAACAAGTTAATAAATTTGGAAGAGGTAGAATTAAAAAGAAAAAACGGCTGTACCCTCCCCAAAGTTCTACCAAAATCTAAACCCGAGTTGAATTTTGTTAATTCTTGAATAAATGATTACCAAGCAATACCAACAATTAAGATACACACATGCAAAGCAGTTATACAGATGTCATGCAGAGCAGCTTTATGCTGGACATATCAATTGGTTCTCACTAATTTCAGTAACTTTTAGCAAGTTCCAAGAATGGGTATTTAAGATGTTATGGGCCAAAACAGTAGCAAAGATTATTATTATTACTCATTACTTTCCAGCCATAGACTCTGAAGAGGACATTAAATTAGCTCATAGAAATTAATGGTAATTACATAAAGGCTAGAACAGAAAATGTTAAAATGGTTTTCTCAGGTGCAGAATGAAAGCATGGGAGCCTGGAAGGAGAAATTCAGAGCTCCTGGTTTATGTTCTTGGCCTGACTCAGCACTTGATTATCAGCAGAGGGAGGGGGTGAGACCTTTAATGAGAGGGTCAGGGGAGTGGGAAGAGAAAGGGAAAGATGAGGAAAGAACAGGGAGGGATACCAGGACACAGTGAAAAGAGCCCAAAGGGCAGGCTAGCATGTGTTACATATGTGTACCTACTTAAAGTTTTTGGGGGTTTTTGTTTTTATTTTTGAGAGTCTCACTTTGTTGCTCAGGCTGCAGTGCATTGGTGCAATCTCAGCTCACTGCAACTTCCACCTCCTGGGGTTCAAGAGATTCTCCTGTCTCAGCCTCCCGAGTAGCTGGGATTACAGGCATGCACCACCATGCCTGGCTAATTTTTGTATTTTTAGTAAAGATGGGGTTTCACCATGTTGGCCAGGCTGGTCTCAAACTCCTGACCTCAAGTGATCCGCCCGCCTCAGCCTCCCAAAGTACTGGGATTACAGGTGCACACCACCACGCCCAGCTAATTTTTATATTTTAGTAGAGATGGTTTTACTACATTAGCCAGGATGGTCTCGAGCTCCTGACCTCAGGTGATCCTCCCACCTTAGCCTCCCAAAGTGCTGGGATTATAGGCATGAGCTACTGCACCTGGCCATACTTAAAGTTTTCTTATAAAAACTACATATATTCAAGAAAAGGCTGAGAAACTGTCACATACAGAAGAGACAAAGGAGGTACGACAACTAACTGCCAGATCCTAGTTTGGATGCTGGAACACAAAAGGACATTAGTGAGAAAACTGGTGAGATCTGAATGAAGTCTCTTGTTTCAGCTGAGAGTATGGTGTTGATGGTAATGTCTTAGTTTTGATAAGTGTGCCAGGGCTGTGTATGCTGTTCAATTGGGGCAGCTGGGGGAAGGTCTATGCGAACTGGATGCACTACTTTTGCAACGCTTCTGGAAATCTAAAATTATTTTTAAATAAAAAGTTTTTTAAATGACATGCAGTGTGAAACATGGGAGGAAAATGACAAAAATACTTTAGGAAAAACAAAACTAGAGAAAAATTTCCTAGGTTAGGCCACAGGCCATACAACCTAAGACAATGCATTAGCACAGGCAATCATCGTGCTAATGATGAGCCATCGTGACCTTAACAAGAAGCCAAATCACACCTGGCTCTATTCCAAGTAACTGGGAAATGCAGAGGATGTACTGCTTGTCTGTTTTGGAACCAACTGGAGGAACAGGAAACTGAGGCCCAGGTTAGAAACGGCAGAATGTATGTCTGGTTAGTGAGACCCAAGATATCCGGCACACAAGTTACAGAAATCTCATGATTTATGGCAAATTGAAATTCTACACAAAGATGAAAATATAAGTGTTGTATTTATCTCATTGTGTGGCTTACACTTACACTCCAGAATGAGAAGTAGTAAGAAAAGAATCTGAGACAGAAACTTCTTGAATTAAAAACCCCAGCATTACTCACGCACTGGAAACAGTAGGCATCAGTGCGGGTAAATTACTAAGCTAGTAACACCTTGTTAGGACATAGGCTCTTGCTTAGGTTAAAACAGCAACTTACATGAAAGGAATGTACAGGCACTTTTTGCCACCTGGGAAGTAAAAACATCTGATATCATCCAAAGAGGCAATAAAGCCTGGGTTTCAGCCAGGTACGGTGTAATGCCTGTCATCCCAGTACTCTGGCAGGCCAAAGCAGAAGGATCACTTGAGCCAGGAGTTCGAGACCAGCCTGGTTGACACAGTGAGACCCCTGTCTCTACAAAAACTTATTTAAAAAATTAGCTAGGCATGGCAGCTCATGCTTGCTGTCCCAGCTACTAGGGAAGATGAAGTGGGAGGATCGCTTGAGCCCAGGAGCTTGAGGCTGTAGTGAGCTGTGATTGTGCCACTGTACTCCAGCCTGGGTGACAGAGCAAGACCCCATCTGAAATAAAAAAGCAAAAAAAACTCGGGTCTCTTATGTTTCTAGTAAATGCACTTGGTAGTTGATTCTGTTATAAAAATAATTTTCAGAGCTTCACTTGCTATAAATCCAACTCAAATTTGAAAAATGTAATTTTAAATGTTTTTACTAAAAAAAAAACAGGATTTGGGGTTGTCAAGAGATTTAGATTTTCCTATAATCAGGACTCCAGTTGGCCAAGATCCCACAGATGCTTAGTGCTGGGGAAAGATAAACAAATGTACAGCTGGCAGAAGGAAAAAGGGACAGGTGTCCTTTTCTGGGGCCACCAAACAGACTCTGCTCATCATCACATACACATACAACCTCTCAGCCCCCTGCTTTCTAAGGAGATGGCTGCCAGAATGCTTCCTATACAAGTTACTGACACGTGCATGATTAAGAAAGAAATCTGACTTGTGATTTATACACCAAATGACAGCTGCCTCTGGCAGCTCATCTTTGTGACCCATCATCATTGCTAGCTTCTTAAGCCATCTCTAAGGCTCAATTCCACTGTGCAAACCACCAGGAGGGGCTAAATTAAACCACTGTTAATGCCAACATTACTTATGTCTGAGTCACAAATTGTATTAAGCCATTAGCTGGAATGACTTGGTATTACAAAAAAATCAAGAAGGGAAAATAAACATAATATGAAAGAAGGGATGGAGGGACCAGAAATTTTTCTCTCCCCATCCCCCAGGGGAATATTTTATCCAGATTCTTTCCTTACTACTTACATAAGAAATAAATTCCAGTAATGAAGCAAATACCTTAAAGTGTTACTGGGCAAGCTTTAAAAATGCAAAATAACAAGAACCAAATATTAGAATCATGAAGAGAAATGCAATACAGTAAGGAGACTAAATTTGCACTGAAGTTTTTTGCTGTATATAGATATAAAAAGGAAATATATGTGTGTGTTTGTGTGTGTGTGTATGTGTATATATATACTGCTGAGAATATTTTACAAAACAAAAGCAAGACACAGAGGGACAAAGGCAGCCAAAAATATATACAACAATTTGGTTTGCTAAAAATATATGAAATTTATTTATTATAACGTGGATAGACTTTCTTTAGTCTTACCATTAAAGACACACAGATATAGCAAAGGAAGCAAGAGTAGGAAAGGGAAAAGAGAGGGGTGAAATGAGCATTGGTAAGTAGCGCAAGCTCGGAGACAGTCAGACAGTTAGCAACCCACAGTGAGCCGGATGAACTGAAGTTGCACAGGACCTCCTCAGAATTTGGGGGCTTTATGGTCAAACCAGTTTTTACTCCTGACAAATCCTGCATTGGCACCGATAGGATGAATTCTGACTCCAAAAATCCATGCCTCACACTTTGGCTTTGGAGCCCCTTCTTTGACACTAAAATGTCTCCCCTGGAGAAGGGAGTGAAACCAAACCAGCTCCCAAATCTGCATCTGGCTTCACTTTAATCATACAGTTGGGAGTAAATTCTGCACTTGAAAATCACGATCATCTGGCTGAAGTGATTATATAACTGTCTTAACTATGTATGTTTAATGATCACTTCTGAATTCAAGTGTTGACTAAGCTCTCAGTTCTTGCATGACCAACTACATTTAAAATACTTTACAATGTAAGTATTTGGAAGGCTTTCAAAATTAACAGTATATCAAGTTCTTTTTAGTACTCAATGCTTGGTACATTTATTTAACCATGACACACATAGACCTACATATGAATCCTTTATCAAACTGACTTTTAGAAGGAATTTAAGGGTCCCAACTATTAGCTAAAATAAATTTACATTCAAGTTTCTAAAATAGAAATAACTTTCCATAAGGGTTAATTAACAAAGAACACTTCTACATATGATAAACTAGGAGTGAAATTTTCACTCCCAGAAAAGTCATCTTTATATTTTCTGATGAAAATTAAGAGTGATTTTTCAAGACACATTCTCCTAAACAATGAGGACATAAAACAGGAACAGAGAGAAGTAAGAAAGAGAACTTCACAGCCCCTAAATTTGTTTCATCTTTTTTTTTTTTTTTTTTTAAGATGGAGTTTTGCTCTTGTTGCCCAGGCTGGAGTGCGATGGCACTCTCAGCTCACTGCAACCTGCCTCCTGGATTCAAGTGATTCTCCTTCCCTCAGCCTCCTATGTAGCTGGGATTACAGGCACCTGCCACCATGCCTGGCTAATTTTATATTTTTAGTAGAGATGGGGTTTCACCAAGTTAGCCAAGCTGGTCTCAAACTCCTGACTTCAATGATCTATCCACCTTGGCCTCCCAAAGTGCTGGGATTACAGGCATAAGCCACTATGCCCGGCCATGTTCCATTTTTCTTTTTTTTGAGACAGAGTCTCGCTCTGTCACCCAAGCTGGAGTGCAGTGGTGCAATCTTGGCTCACTGAAACCTTCGCCTCACTGGTTCAAGCAATTCTCCTGCCTCAGCCTCCTGAGTAGCTGAGACTACAGGCAAGTGCCACCACATCCAGCTAATTTTTTGTATTTTTAGTATAGACAGTGTTTTACTATGTTGGCCAGGATGGTCTTGATTTCCTGACCTTGTGACTCCCAAAGTGTTGAGATTACAGGCATGAGCCACCGCGCCTGGTCCATGTTTCATCTTTTTAAGCCACGAAAAAGGTCCCATGCCTAACCATATTTTGAAAGGCATGCAATTTAGTTAAAGTTACATGATAAAGACTTCATCATTAAGCATGTCTTCTCTTTTTTAAAAAGATCTATGTAAGTAATAAATAAATAAAAACTTAAAGATTCACTGAGAGGAGAACCAGCATAAAAATATGATGACCTGAGTCTTCAGCCTGCACTTGTCCTTTATTAGTCCTGAGTCCTGGGATAACATGCCTAACTTCTCAAGCTTTACTTTCATTGTTTTATTTCTTTATTTTATTTTAGAGACAGACTCTTGCTATGTTGCCCAGGCTAGAGGGCAGCAGCTATTCTCAGGCATGATCCTAGTACACTATGGCACTGAATACCGGCTCAAGCGATTCTCTCGCTTTAGCCTCCTGAGTAGCTGGGACTACAGGCATGTGCCACAATGCCTGGCTAATTTCATCCTTTAAAAATGCAAGCTCCACCACACAGTTCAATGGGTTGTTTTGAGATTAGATTAATTTGTGAATTATGAAGTGCTATTTAAATGTAGGGGTACACCAGTTTTTTTTTTTTAATGAAGACAGAGTCTCACTATGTTGCCCAGGCTGGTCTCGAACTCTTGTGCTCAAGTGATCCTCCCTCCTTTGCCTCCCAAAGTGCTGGGATTACAGGCATGAACCAGTGTCCAACCATAGCTCCCTTGCCAGAATGCCACAGTAACAAGCCCTGTAGTACCAGCTACTCAGGAGGCTGAGGCAGGAGAATCGCTTGAACCCGGGAGGTGGAGGTTGCAGTGAGCTGTGATTGTGCCATTGCACTCCAGCCTGGGCAACAAGAACGAAACTCCATCTAAAAAAAAAAAAAAATTAAAAAATAAGCAAAGACTTATCAGGGGCATGGCAGTGGTGAAACACACTTGCATTCTGAGTATAAACACCACCTTAGTTAATTTCACTACTATTTCTTAATTTAAATAAAGGAAAGGCAGCCTGGGCAACACAGCGAGACCTTGTCTCTATAAAACATTAAGAAAAAGAATTAGCCAGGTGTGGCCATGCATGGGTGTAGTACCAGCTACCTGGGAGGCTGAGAGGTGGGAAGTCAATTGAGCCCAGGAGATAGAGGCTGCAGTGGGCCATGACTGAGCCGCTGCACTCCAACTGGGGCGACGGAGAGAGGCCATTTCTCAAAAAATAAAAATAAAAAAAGAAGAGTAAATGCATCCCTGGACCAAAGCCTGACGTCCTTTAGAGTGTGGCTTATGCAATACAAATAGCTAAATCTAAATAAATAAATAAAGCCCTCCACTCCTAAGCAACTGCCATGTTGGCAGAAGAGACACTGCTGCATAAAACACACACCTCAGTAGGTGGTGGGGGAAACCTCCTCTTCCCCGACAAGTGGGAATAAAATACTTCACCGGACCATGGAGAAATTATTGGTTATGCTATTCCTTAAGGTCTGTTTTTTAGTTTTGTTTCTAAGAAGCAAAAAAGCACATCACAGTTGTGGTGTGCACCCATTCCGCAGCAGCCACTGCACAGGCTGTGGTTCTCAGCAGTAGCACCCCCCAAACCTGCTTGGCATCATGTAAAGCACAGACTTCCTCTAAACAAAACTGCACATTTTAAAACAGCAGACAAAGACTTATCAGCTTATAGAAGCATCAAGCTTCTATACAATTGTTTCTGTGGGCCATGTTCTTCCTTATTGAAAAGTACTGAAAAAATTATACTAGTTTTTAATTTGAATACCATTTGACTACTATGGGAGAACAATAAGTAACAAAGCCTTTTTAAAGAAAATAGAAACACTTAAAATGATGTTACCCATTATTAATGAACATTAAAATTACTGATTTATTTTTGAGACAAAGTCTCACTCTGTCACCCAGGCTGGAGTGCAATGGCACAATCTTGGCTCACTGCAACCTCTGGCTCACTGCAACCTCCGCCTCCTGGCCTCAAGTGATTCTCCTGCCTCAGCCTCCCAAGTAGCCGGGACTACAGGCACGTGCCACCACGCCCAGCTAATTTTTAGTATTTTTAGTAGAGACGGGGTTTCACAGTGTTAGCAAGGATGGGCTCAATCTCCTGACCTCATGATCTGCCTGCCCTGGCCTCCCAAAGTGTTGGGATTACAGGTGTGAGCCACCGCGCCCAGCCTAACATTTTTATGTAATTGAAATCAGTATTTATATCTAGATCAATAACTACATGTAAGATTATAGTATTTTTAGTTACTGAAACTAGGAGGTAATAGTGGTATACATGAGACAATCTGATTTTAGATCACCTCTGAATAAAGCAACTCAGCATGGCTTAACATAAAATTATTTTTGTTTTAGTAATAGTGAAACTTTTGCAAATAGATTTTCTTTTTCTTTCTTTCTTTTTTTTTTTTTTGAGAGGGAGTCTTCCACGTTATCCAGACTGATGTGCAGTGGCGCTATCTTGGCTCAGTGCAACATCTGCCTCCCAGGTTCAAGCGATTCTCCTGCCTCAGCCTCCTGAGTAGCTGAGATTACAGGTACCTGCCACCATGCCTGGCTAATTTTTTGTATTTTTAGTAGAGACGAGGTTTCACTATGTTGGTCAGGCTGGTCTCGAACTACTGACCTTGTGATCCATCAGCCTCAGCCTCCCAAAGTGCTGGGATTACAGGCGTGAGCCACCATGCCTGACCCAGCAAATGCATTTTCATAATTTGTCAATTACAAATACCAAACTATCACAATGGCATTTTCTGAATATAAGGAGGTCACTTGTTTTCTACTACAAGTTACCATATATATCACGTTCTGACATCTTATTAAACACACACAACAATAAACAGAAAGCTTACCTTTTTTTCATTTCTAACAACTGATTATTGAGCACAGATCTTTCTTCTTCCAGCTAGGAAAAAAAACACAAAAAAAGTTCAGTTCATAACCAGGCCACAGAGAGGCATATTTTTCATTTCACATGTCATCCCCTAGGCTCCAGGACAGCTAAAGCCACTGGCTTTCCTCACCACCAATGAAGAGGAACAAGTGGTCACCCTATCACAGGATGTACAGTTATTAACATATAAATCACAACCTCAGTAACTCCCACTCCTCAGGGACCTGAGAGTCAAAAATATTAACCTTGAACACAACAAAGCACACTTGAGCATTCAAAAATATTCATTCTCTGGGCATGGTGGCTCACACCTGTAATCCTAGCTCTTGGAAAAGCCAAGGCGGGTAGATCACCTGAGTTTAGGAGTTTGAGACCAGCCTGGCCACGATGGTGAAAGCCCATCTCTACTAAAAATATAAAAATTAGCCGGGTGTGGTGGTGTGTGCCTGTAACCCCAGCTACTGAGAAGGCTGAGGCAGAAGAACTGCTTGAACCTGGGAGGCAGAGAGCCAAGATCCTGTCACTACACTCCAGCCTGGGCAACACAGTGAGACTCTCTCACATACAAAAAACCAAATTGTTAAATGAGTAAAGCTCCACTGCTAACAGCATTCTGGTTCCTTTACTTAAACCACAGAGATCAAGTGTCACTAAACTGCAGAGGAGTAGGAACAGGCCACGTACTCTCTATGGACCTCAATTTACCCATCCATCAATTCAACACACATTCACTGAATTGTTCCTACATTCAAGCATTAGTAAAGCATGTGTTTCTCACCTACAGAACAAAGAGGTTACAAAAGAATTTCCAGTGGTTCTTTATTATTCCATTAGGGATTAAAAAACCCAAAAGATTCAGGTAGTTAATCTTGTGAAGGAAGAATCATCTCTACCTCCAACCTGCACAGTTTGGCCAAATACCACCAATTTCAACTCGCTTTTTTTTTTTGAGTTGGAATCTTGCTCTGTTGCCCAGGGTGGAATGCAGTGGTGCAATCTTGGCTCACTGCAACTTCCACCTCCCAGGTTCAAGTGATTCCCCTGCTTCAGTCTCCTGAGTAGTTGGATTTACAGGTGCTTAGAACCATGCCCAGCTAAAGTTTGTACTTTCTTCTTTTTTTTTTTTTTGGAAGGGAGGAAGGAAGGCAGGAAGGGAGGAAAGGAGGAAGGGAGGGAGAGAGGAAGGAAGGAAGGGAGGGAGGGAGAGAAGGGAAGGAAGGAAATCAGGCAGTGAGAGAGACATTGCTGACCTGGATCTAGAGGTCTACAAGTTGGTTTCTTTTTTTCTTTTTTTGAGAGAAGGAAAGAAAAAAAAGAGTGAAGGAGAGGAAGAAAGAGGAAGAACAAGAGGGAGAGAGAATGGAAATGTTGCTTTATTCTAAAAAAAAAGGGGGGTATTAATAATGGCCAATCAATATTTCATTTAAACCTATGAGTAGGTGTGATGTGGTATTGACAAGAATGTATATTTTGTGTATTTAAAGTGGAGAGTTCTATAAATGTTTATTAAGTTTACTTGTTCCAGATCTGAGTTTGAGTCCTTGATATCCTTATTAGTTCTCTGTCTCATTGAGTCTGAGTCTCTATGTATCTGGGTATTAGGATCGTTAGCTCTTGTTGCATTGATCCTTTTACCACTATATCTTTGTTGCTTTAAAATCTATTTTATCAGATATGAGAATTGCAACTCCTGCTTTTTATTTATTTATTTTTGCTCTCCATTTGGTTGGTAAATCTTTCTCCATCCCTTTTTCTTGAGTCTTTGTGTATCCTTGCATGTGAAGTGGGTCTGGATGTAACATGACGTTGGGTTTTGGCTGTATCTTTTGATTGGGGGATTTAGTCAATTTAAATTTAGGATTACTGCCATTTGATGTTAACTGGCTGTTTTATCCATTCATTGACGTAAATTCTTCTTTATGTTGATGCTCTTTGCTTTTTGGTATATTTTTAGAAAGGCTAATACTGGTTGTTTCTTTCTATGTGTAATGCTTCTTTCAGAAGCTCTTGCAAAGCAGGCCTGGTGGTAATAAAATCTCTGAGTACTTGCTTGTTCATAAAAGATTTTATTTTTCCTTCAGTTGTGAAGCTTAGTTTGGCTGGATATGAAATGCTGGGCTGAAAGTTCTGTTCTTTAAGGATGTTGAATATTGGCCCCCACTCTCTTCTGGCTTGTAGAGTTTCTGCTGAGAGATCTGCTGTAAGTCTGATAGGCTTCCCTTTGTGGGTAACCTGACCTTTCTCTCTGGCTGCCCTTAGTATTTTCTCCTTCGTTTCAACTCTGGTGAATCTAACAATTATGTGCCTTGAGGTTGCTCTTCTTGAGGAATATCTTTGTGGTGTTCTCTGTATTACCTGGGGTTGAATATTGACCTGCTTTGCTAGGTCAGGAAAATTTTCCTGAATAATTTCCTGAAGGGTATTTTCCAGCTTGGATTCATTCTCTCCATCGCATTCAGGTACACCTATCAAACGTAAATTTGGTCTTTTCACATAGTCCCACATTTCTTGGAGACTTTGCTCATTCCTTTTTAACCTTTTTTCTATAATCTTGTCTTCTCGTTTTATTTCATTAAGTTGGACTTCGACCTCTGATATCCTTTCTTCTGCTTGAACAATTCGAGTGTTTAAACCTGTGCATACTTCTCAGAGTTCCTGTATTGTATTATTCAGTTCCATTAATTCACTTATATTCCTCTCTAAGTTATCTATTCTCATTAGGATTTCATCAAACCTTTTTTCAAAGTTCTTAGTTTCTTTACATTGGGCTGCAACATGTTCTTTTAACTCACAGAAGTTTCTTATTATCTATCTTCTGAAGCCTGATTCTGTTAATGGGATGCGCTCATTCTCCATCAAGCCTCGTTCCCTTGTTAATGAGGAACTGTGATCCTCTGTAGAGGGAGAGGCATTCTGATTTTGAGTATTCTCAGCCTTTTTAACGCTGGTTTCTTCCCATCATTGTAAATTTATCCACCTGTCATCTTTGTAATTACCAACTTTCAAATTAGGTCTCTGAGTGGACGTCCAAGTTGTTCATTCCCGGGGCCAAAATATGAGCAACCCACTGTGCTGGCCAAAACAGTGGCGTTAAGACTGATGGTGCTTTTCTGCCCGGGAATCTCCAGTCTGGCTTCCTTGTTGAGTCCGTAATAGGTGACTCTGCCTTCCCAGAGCTCCAAACCTCGGTTAGAAGGGGAACCAGTCCCGTTTACTCTGCACCAAGAGCTGCCGCACCAAGGTGCTGGCAAAACCGCTGCGCCGGCCACAAGAGTCGCACTGGCGACCCGTGCAGCTCCTCCAAACCTCGATCAGAAGGGGAACCAGTCCCGTTTACTCTGCACCAACAGCTGCCGCGCTGAGGTGCCGGCACAACTGCTGCGCCGGCCACAAGAGTCGCGCTGGCGACCCGTGTGGCTCCTCCACTGGGAATCTTCTGCTCCGTGAGCGACCAAAATTTGTCTGAAAGTGTGGTGTCCTCTCGTTCTCTGCGCTTTCACAGGGAGCTGCAATCCCGAGATGTTAGCGATCGGCCATCTTGGATCGTCTCCTAAAGTTTGTACTTTCAGTAGAGACAGGGTTTTGCCATGTTGGCCAGGCTGCACACTGTTAATTTTTTTTAAAGGGTTAAAAAGCTTGTGTGTGTGTGTGTGTGTGTGTGTGTGTGTTAAATAAAAAGATAACACCAAAGATATGTAATGGCTTCCAAAAGCCTAGAATTTACTAGCCCACTCTATGTAGTTATAGTGATTATTAATTATGTATTAGGTATGTTCATGCTTTGCTATGAGGTCTTACTTATTTATTTGTCTTTTTTTTTTTTTTTTTTTTTTTTGTGGAGAACAGGGCTCACTATATTGCCCAGGCAGGCCTCGAACTCCTGGGCTCAAGCTATCCTCCCACCTCTGCCATCCTAAGAGCTGGGATTACAGGCGTGAGCCACTGCACCTGGTGAGGTCTTATTTTTTAAGTTCTTTAATATACTGGGACTTGAATGTAGTTATTTAAAAAAATTCTTTAATGTACATAAACACATCTTCTGAACATAAATATCCCTTTACCATGAAATCTATAGAGGTTAACATAGCATACTTTTATAGAATCTTTGATGTCCTAACCCATTAAGATACATGTTTTTGCTGCAGGACTGATTCACAGAAATATTTAGAATGAAAGGAAGAAAAGAGTGGGAGGCAAACTTTAAAAAATGAAATGAGAAAGAGAACATCTGGAGAGTGGGATATGGAGATGAGAAGGGCTTTCATTTTGGTCTTTAGGCCCTTTGCACAATTTATATTTATTCTTTAAAGAAGGAATCTGTTTTACTTTTATAATTTTTAAGTTAAAAAAAATTGGCCAGGCGCGGTGGCTCATGCTTGTAATCCCAGCACTTTGGGAGGCCGAGGTGGGCGGATCATGAGGTCAAGAAATCGAGACCATCCCGGCCAACATGGTGAAACCCCGTCTCTACTAAAAAAAAATACAAAAATTCGCTGGGCATGATGGCGTGCACCTGTAGTCCCAGCTACTTGGGAGGCTGAGGCAGGAGAATTGCTTGAACTCAGGAGGCGGAGATTGCGCCACTGCACTCCAGCCTGGCGCCTGGCAACAGAGCAAGACTCTGTCTCAACAACAAAAAAAAAGTTAAAAAAATCAATACTTACAACTTGATAAGTTTTTACAATGAATGGACAAAGAGCATGGCCGATAATTCACAACACAGAAAATAACAATTATTAATGAACATTTGAAAAATCATTCAACCCTACAAAAATGTATGCAAAGATTCTCCCCTTCTTCGAGGGTCCATGTGCCTGAACTTCCAAGGAAGAGATGTTTGGTATTTATAATACTGATCTTTATACAAAATGATGTTTGTTCTTCTTCTGATCCAATATTGTTACCCAATCCAGGAGATAACAAGTTGCACCTAGAAGTTTTATTTCTTTTTTTTTTTTTTGAGATGGAGTTTCGCTGTTGTTACCCAGACTGGAGTGCAATGGCACAATCTC